TGGACATTAGGAAGAACTTCTTCACAGTTAGAGTGGCCAAGGTCTGGAATGGGCTCCCAAGGGAGGTGGTGCTCTCCCCTACCCTGGGGGTCTTCAAGAGGAGGTTAGATAGGCATCTAGCTGGGGTCATCTAAACCCAGCACTCTTTCCTGCCTATGCAGGAGGTCAGACTCGATGATCTATTGAGGTCCCTTCTGACCCTAGCATCTATTAATCTATAAAACCAATGGGCTAAAAATCTCATAAGTTAGAGTGATAAAATCATAAAATACTTTTTCCTAAATGAGTCTTAGGTATTCTTAGTGGTAATCTACTAAGAAATAATTAGCTGGTGATTTAATTTGTATAAGGATAGGAGAGGGTGTTGGGGAAAAAAAAAAAGTGGCCTTACAGATTAAGGCAGTATCTTCTATAAATAAAGCAAAGAAAGTGAAAAGGACAGCTGTGGAACAAGTGGACAAAGTGGTAGAAAAGTGGAGAAGGATGAGGGCAACACAGTAATTCCAAGGCAAAAGGACTGTCTGAATCTTCTGTGGAACTATTCAAGTAGAATTAATTCAATGAGGAGGCAATGACACTAGTAGAGCAACAGGCAAAGAATATCATGGTCACAACTACATTTTGTAGGGACTAAAGCTTAACAAAGAGTAGTAGGGAAGGACACCACAGAGAAGGTGGCCATTGTAATCCAGATACAGTATGAGGATTTGGACAGAACTAACATGCAGACAGAACACAAGTTGGATTTGAGAAATGTAAGAAATGGTAAAATTAGGATATGGCCTGCATGTGGCACAAGGGTTGGGGAGGCGAGAGGCAAAAACCCTCTTTTTACAGACCAGAGTAATGCAGTCATATTAGAAATAGGTTTTTGAAAGTTAAGAATCAAATCATCAAAAATGTGGACCAAGTAGTTTTAAGATATATTTAAAAAATAATTCTTTGTTTTACCATCCCAGATTTTTCTCATCCATCAAAAAACACACTGCAGTCCTACTTAGGAGAGTACCTTAAAACAGAATAATGAAGAAATTAAAAAAAAAAAGAAAGAAACAAAAACAGCACAAGATTTTAAACAGCAGGCAGCAAAAGAAATCATAATAAAGAAGTTTCTTCTTCTTCGTAGGATATCTTCTAGGTTCAAAATTTATATCTAAATATGTAAAGACATACTTACTTGGATCATTTAGCTCAGGTGGCCTCGTGTTCCTCTGCCTTAAGCTTCCTGTAATTTTAGGATTTTTTGGCCCAGTTATAAGAGCAACTTTTCCATTCGGTCGCAACATAGAATGTCCTACAATATCAGGACTCAGTATGATATCAATTGGACCTTTTCCAATGGCAGAACCATAAAACTTCTTTGTGTTCAACCCTGTACCTGAAGATTTTTGTCCTATTGAGTTCTGATGTATTGGCGATCGCGATAAAGGTCCCACGGGTTCATTTAATGTCACAGTTTGTCTCGAGATTCTTTGGAAATCCTTAAGAAAATATTTTCCGCAATGCTGGCATTTGGTCTGATTTTCATTTCTCTTCCCACACCCATGGCAAAAAGTAGAATAATCAGTCTGTTCCAAAACCTACAGGAAGGGTGGGGGAAGTCAGTAAGTACAACATTTCTAGGCATAATAAAAGATCCAAAACTGAATTTTCCTCTATTTTTTTTTTTTAAGAAAATGACTGAAATGTTGTTACCAATACTAAAGAACATAGGTCAAATACACACATGAATGCATAGCTAGACTTTTAATAGAGGGAGCTAAGTGTAAAAGCAAATCTTGACCATAAAAAAGGATAACTGTGGACACTCAGGGGCTCCTGTTACACCTATTTTTTTTTCTTTCTTTCAATGGCAGATGAATGCCCATTGCTCAGGTATGTTCATTCACCCACCAGAAGGTAAAGCCAATGTTAGTATTTCAAATAAGAAGAGCTAAAGGACCACAGCAGGGAGGCAACATAGGCCTGGAAGAGACCTCTTAGGTCATTTCATCCAAACACACTTATACTCTCAAAATATTTGATGACAGTCTGGGGAAGGCAGTGAACCTCTTACTTCCAAAGGCAGAATAACTAAGGCGGGAGCACAGCCATGCCTCCAGAAAGTGGCAGCCTCCCATAATGAAATAAAGTAATGAACAGCAAACGTAAGAGCCTTGCAGGGCGGAAAATGGTTCCAGCCTTCCTCCTAGAAGTCAAAGAGAGGAAGGAGCACCACATCCCTCCAAAGACAGAGATGACTCATCATTTCTCCCACTGTTGCTCAGGAGACCTGTGCTCTATGTCAATCTCCATGTATTGCCTGCTACTGGCCTTTTTATTAAAATAGTCTTTAGTATATTATAAGTGTAGAACCAGGAGACCTTGAAAATCCCTTCCCTAGAGGAATGTGGTGCTTTACTGCCATTAAGTCATTGAATCCCTTGAAGCTGAATGGGACTAATTGCTTGTGTGAATTTCTGCAGGAATAGGACCTGAACTATATATTACATTGTTTACAGAAATATTGTTGGTTATACTAACACTGAATAGTTGTAAGCAATCATAACAAGAATATACTGAGAACTGTTACTAGTCAGATTTGCAGAACCTTAAAAACAAACAAAAACAAACAAACAAACAAATGATTAACTTTTCCTTTCTTCTCCTCCCTGTGTACTGGGAACATGCAGATATACAACGCTACTCTCAATGACTAATATGATTCTGGCTTTTGTAGTCAAAAACTTTAGGCTAGTACCCAACAGAGGTATGTGCCTTTTAAAGCCTCAGTTTTTTAAATTTTACACATGTACATATATACACATAGTTTTTAAAATGCATATATATCTCCATTAGAATCAGAAACAAAAAATCCGTTGCACCTGCTCTGCGTAAGAGAACTGCTGGAAAAAAACAAAAGAGGCCAGAGCAGAGCAAAGTGAGGGGCAAAAAGAGCTACACTAAATAACCTTTTGGCATCTCCATCTATATATGTAAACTACATGTGGAAGAGAGATGGAACAGAATCCAAATCATTTGCATCTGGGTGGCTTGGAACTCACTTAATTTGCAGTTAGTTGCTGAATTAAGGATAAGCCACTCAGCTGTTTGCTGTGGCTTTTACTTCAAAGGGACCTGCTTCTCTAATCAACTGGAGCTCATTAATAGCTCCACACAGTCGATCAGAGAAGCCATGCTCTTTGAAGTAAAAGCCATAGCAAAGAGAAGGAGCACCCCAGTCAAGCAAAGTTATTTGTTTCGGCACTACAGCCACCACCCTTTAAGTCTCTAAGACTTCATTTTTAGGGAGCAAGATGCAACATAAACCTACAAAGTATTCAGTTCCAGTGTGTAAAGATAACTTAAATATTGAAGTTAAAAATCCATATTGATAGATAGAAAGGGGCGTAGTCAGTCTGTCTGTCCATAACACTCTTTAAATGCAAATAGCTTGAAAACTGTAAGAGACATAACATTTGCATCTTCAGAGAAACGTGTTTGCTAAACCTTAGCATTTGCTTAGTGACCATGTTAGGATGATCACAACTTCCAGAATTGGGAAAAAAGTTAGGCGCCAAGGGTGTTGTTTCTACTGAGCTCTTCCTGGGAGGGTGCTGGGAGCCTGGCGTGGCGGAAATGGCAGAGGGAGGAGCCAGCTGAGGAAAAGCAGGAGCCAGGCAGAGGAGCAAGGCACTGGGTGAGCAGCAGCAGCCCCATCCCAAGCCCCAAGCACGGAAGGAGGTGCCCAGGAGCGGTATGAAGGAAGCCACAGCATATAGGCAGCCATTGCAAGGTGCGGAGCTCACCTGCCCAGCTAAAAGGCGCATAAGTGGTGGCCAGGCAGCAGCATGGGCAGGTCTGCCTCCAGCCTGCTGGATGAGTGAAAGTGCAGGAAGCGATTGGTATCTTCAAATGTTCAGCCTATTTTATTTAAGTTTCATAAATATTTAATTTATTTCATAAATATGAAAAGTAAAATCTATCTGTTTGTTTTCATTATTTGAAATTCATCTGTCATTCTTGACGGGCAATTCACTAGTTTGATATAAAAATTAACTACTTCATAGTATATCGTGTTAATTTGATAAGAATGAAATCTGAGCTACTCAATGTCTTTACCTTGGAAACATTTTCTCTTAAATCAGCTCTTAACAGTAATTTTGAAATCAGTAACAATCTTCAAACAATTTCTCCAAGACAAGTGTCAAACATGCAATGCACTTCCACTAAACCAACAGCTTGTAAGGGCCCTGATGCATACTACATTTGATGCGATTAAGGTGTTAATCATCATAAATAGTAACTTGGCCACACATTAAAGCCCACTTATGGCATGGCAATATAGGAAATGCACCACTATGTTAGTTATTCCATATATAATTAGGGATCTACCTTAAGTGCTCCAGAAGTGTGCTTCACAGCCGCTCCTTTGATTGTGCTCTTTTCACTGCATACCCCCTGACCACTGGCTGCTTGTAGGACCCTGGCAGCCTCGCCACTTGCTCCTGATCAGCTGGGAGGCAAAAACTATACTTTTAAATATGCTGCAGTTTCTGCCTCCTGGCTGATCAGCAGAAAGCAGCAAGGCTGCTGGGGTCCCCCAGTCAATCACTGGTGAGAGGGTGCACAGTGAAAAGTTCAAAATTAAAACAGCCACTGCTCAGCTCACTTCTGGCACAATTTAGGTAGATTCCTACACATAATGAGGAACTTCTTTGTGGCTCATTTGTATCAAGCCCTAAAATAAACACGAGACATCAGGACTGACCCGTGTCAGCTCCAGCTGAGCATAGGGATCCAGCATGAGGCAGTCCCAGGGTCCAGGACACAACCCTCCCCTACCTGATCAACAAGATCAGGCTGTGGGCAGCAGCAGTCCTGGACCCAGCACCTCCACCTAATCTCCAGAAGCACAGTAGGGGGGAAGGTGGGGTGGTGTCAAACCCAACATCAGGGAATGTCTTCTTGATCTCCAGCACATTGCACCCTGAACTTTTACAGAGTGGGTATGCAACTGGAAGCCCCAGCCACACACCTGTTTTTTTTTTAAGTCTCCTGGGTGCCTATGGAAGCGGTATTTGGGAACTCACCAGCCCCTGATGGCAAGTGGTGCTTCACAGTGTGGGACATGGGCAACTGGGAAATTAGGAGCTCCCACCTCCCCAGGTCCTGCGCCATGGGTTCCAGCACATGGGGAGCTTTAAAGGGAATACTGACACAGCTTTCCTGGGCTTCCTCACTTTAAATCCTGTGTTCAACAGCTCTAGCCAGGTCACAGGGAGGTGCAAGGGATCAGAAGCTACCAGTGGGGTTTAAAGTCCCCAGTGGAGGAGGCCCTTCTCCACCAGAAGCTTCTGACTCCCTGTGCTCCGAAGGCTAGTCACAGGGTTTTGACAATCAGCTGACTATCATCCCAGCCCAGATAGCTCTGATCTCTGAGCCAGAAGGGCTGCCCCAGCCAGTTCCCATAATCAGCCAAATGTTAACTAGAAGGGCTGTCCCAGCCAGTTCCCATAATCAGCCAAATGTTAGCTCATCGTATTGGGCCGCCTGAGCACTGGGGACAGCCCACCCACACTGGGCAGTCTGGAGCTGGAATGATCATAAGCTGAGACAATCAACCACACTGGAGGGAGCTTGAGCCCCCAGTGTGGTCCCAGAGGCTGATGCTAACAATCAGCTGATTATCAGCCTCAGCTGGATCTGCAAGCATTCTTCTTTCAACTTGCCAGTGCAGGGGGAGCCTGGAATTGTGATCTCCAGGCTCTCCCTGCGCAGGCAAGTAGCAATGGCACAATAGGAACTGATAACAATCTGCCTCCTGGCATGTACATGTGGCACAGCAGGAGGCATGATTTTTGGGACTGGGAATCCGGTCCCATTGTACCATTAAATGAACATGTGCCAGGGGCCTAAGTTTGAAAAGGAGGACTTAGTTGCTTCATAAAGTACACATTTATGTAACACTAACACTGAAAAGTGTTCAATGGAAACAATTTATCACAAATAAACAAAAAAACCCCTATAAACTATTGATTAGACTGTGAACACCAAAATAAACAGGAGTTAGGCTCCTAATACTTTTAAGTATCTGTACCCAACTCCAAGTCTTGCCAACACTTACATATATACCTCTTCATTATAAAGGGTGTGAGTAGTCCTTAATTAGCTATTTTCATTCTTAAATTTTAAAGTACATGCATAAATATTTTGCTGAACTACAACAATTTAATGAAAAGGTTTGCTTAACCATTAAATCTGTTAAATATTGGGTTCTCTCATGCAGTTACATAAGGAAACAAGATTTGTACTTATTTCTATAATAATTCCTAATCGATATTTAAAATTCAACTGACACAAGGGTTAACTTATATTTCAGAATAAGTTGCGTATCTACCATGGTTCCCCTGCGGCAGGTTAGGGTGTTGTGTCAAAGTTGACAACAGTCTTATGTAGAGTTTAGATTACGGATTGTATGGGATGGTTTGGATAGGGATAATCCTGTCTCAGGCAAGAAGCTGGTCTAGATGACTCTGGATGTCCCTTCCAGACCTACTTCTCTATGACTGTATGATTCTATGAGTGTCCTGAACAGGTAGCAGCATTGTTTACTTAAAAACTTAAAATTTAGGATGCAAAAATTATTTTTCTTTTCATATTTGTCAGAACATATCATTTTAACTGTTGATAAAACTGTCAGTGACTCCTGCTGA